AGGAGGAGGCGTCCAGCCATTGGACTCTTTCCTAGCCCTTCCCGGGCACTAAGGCCAGGTTGCCCCGCGGGACCTCACCTGCCTGGGCCCAGGGAGAGCTGCTCCTGGGTGCCTGGCTCAGAGAAATCCCACCCCAGCTCTGCCAGGCTCAGGCAGGCAGCAGGGGGAGGGCGCCGCTGCTAGCCACTTGCCATGCTGGTCATGTCCGCGCTCCCAGCTCCAGAGGTGAAAGGTACAGACGCTAACCACAGCCCATCAGTCCTCCTCAGCTGGAATAAGACAACACAGGGAAGCAGAGCCGCGCTTCCGGCCAAATAAAAGCCGGCTTGCTCCAGCCTCCCCGGCTGTGAGCACTACGAAACAGAGGGGTCTGCGGCGGATTTCTTCCATGCCATTATATTCTCCGGGCCGCACGTGCGGGGACTGTGGCCTGCCGGGCCCTGAAAGCTTCTCGATGCCGCGACCCTGCTGGTTTGTAACACGCTCGGGAAGAAAAGGACACAGCCAGCGGCAGACTTTCCGCTTTCTTCCCGCCTGGCTCTTTTCACCCTCCCACGCGCACAGCTCTGAAGCGAGGCACTTCACCTGCTCTGGAGCTGCAACTGGAGATGAGAAATCCGACTCCTGTCTGGAGAGGGAGCCAGGGAAGGAGAGGTGCAGGACAGGGCTGGGAGGGGGCGGGGCCGAGGCCGAGGGTGGGTCTGTGGAGATGCCATCTTGCTTGTCCCTTTGAAAGCACCTGTCTGGTTTAAGGTCCCAGGGCAACGACTCCAGTGGCTTTGTAAGTCCTGCCTTTTGCTGCTCAAGGGAGCAGGTATTTTGTGAGCATCTAGTGAAGGAAAACAAGGTGGTACAGACAGCTAGGTGCTTTACTGCTAAACAAAAGTTGGTGGTTTGAACCTACTCAAAGGTGCTTCGAAAGAGAGGCCTGGCAATCTGCTTCTGAAAGGTCACCGCCTTGAAAACCTGACGGAGTGCAGTTCTGTTCTGCACCCAGGGTCAAAGTGACTCCCTTGCCTTAGCTGCCACGGTAGGGCAAATAGTTTATGGTTGACTATTAACTGATGGCACATAACAACATTAATTCAAAGGCTGGTGGTTCAAACCCACCCAGTATGGCTGTGGAAGAAAGGCCTGACACTCTGTTTCTATAAAGATTACAGCTGAGACAACCCTAGGGAGCAGTTCCACCCTGTAACACATGGGTCACCATGAGTCAGAATTGACGGCTACAGGTCTGGGTTGGTGTGTGCTGGGCATTGTGTCAGGCACCCCCGACCACGTGACGCATGGACTCAGAGGAAATGCCCTGTCCTGAGCCCTTCCTATAGACCAGGTATATTCACTCTGATCCTCCTCTCTCCCTCCGTTACATGTACACATACACACGCAGGCATGCGCACACACACACTGGGCATTTTGCAGGATGTCGTACAGGAGGATGGTTAAAAGCACAGGTTTGAATCCTGACTCTGCCATTCAGTAGCTGGGTGCCCTTAGGCCAATGACTTGCCCTCTCTGTGCCTCAGTTTTCTCATCTGCGAAACAAAGCAGCATGAAGGGATCTGGTGGCATTAATTACTACAAGTGAGAGCCCATGATGAGACCTGGCAGGAGCGCAGCTTAACAGCTGATGGCTGTTAGAACGATAGTAATAATAATGAGCACTGTCTACTCTAAACCTTGACCTAGGCTCATCAGGGACCTGGGGACTGGGAAGACAACAGGAAGAGAGAAGAAGGCTGGTTGTCGGGACAGGATGCTCTGGCCCCCACATCCTGTCTTGCCCACCTGGGGGAGAGGATGGCGGCTGGTGGAGGCTCAGGGGAGGAACAACTTCAGGACAAGAGTGCTGAGGGCGCCGGCCACAATGAGGGCACTGGCTGGTGCCAAAGCTCCGCCTGCGCTGCCTCCTCCCCTGTCCCAGAGGGCGGCTCCGAGGCCAGTGTCACCAGCTAGTGTACTGCCAGGCCTTGCGGAATGGTTCAAACGCCTGCCTTTCATGCCGAGGCCCACTCTCTACAGGGAGCCCTTTGTTGTGGCCTTGACCTCCACTCGAGCCCTGAGTGCCTTGCTGGCAGAGTTCAAGGCCAAGGCCAGAGGCGGGGGAGGGAGCTGGGCATGCAGCCCACCTGCCCTGGAGTCTGCCAGGGCCCTGGCAGTGCCGGACAATGTGGATTTGGACACAAATGAGCTGGGTATTTTTCTCTGTGGGGAAGCGGCACAGAGGTGGGGCAGGGGTCCAGCTATCAGGGCAGGAGGCCAGCAGCCTGTTGCCAGCAGTCAGGGCATCGCGTTTCCCACAGGGATCAGACAGGGGGCTGTGGGGGCAGGTGGGTGGGTGAGGACAGACTTCTCGGAGCACCTGCTCCGTGCTGCACGTGTGCACGATCTCCCCCATCTCCCCAGCAGCTTGTCACCACCCTAGTGTGGGCACCTCAGTCTCTTCACCTGTCAAATCTAGAGAAGGGCGGCAGTGCCTCAAGTGGCTAGGGCTGCTGTGAGGATACATGACTTAACATGTGTCACATGCTGAGGACAGCACCAGGCACAAAGTAAGTACTAGGTGTCCCAAGGCACTTTTCCTTAGCTGGCCTCAATTCCCTCATCTGTAAAATGGGGCCAACTGTGCCCACCTCATAGGGCTGCTGGGGATTCCTGGGGCGAAGTATGCAAGTGATTTGTGTTGTGCCTGCCCTCGTCTGGAGCCTAGCCCTGTGGCTGGAATTGGCCGTGGAGATAACCCATCCCACGGCAATGCTTCTGGTGCATTTTTCTGCTGGGGGAGGTAGACTGCTGTCTGAGGAACTCAATTTATTGAAGGGAGCTCCTCTCCCAGGAGGTCAGAACTGCTGGGCCTGCACTCCTCCACTGGCTTGGGGTAGGGGTGGGGAGGCCGGAAGCTGGGTCCCCGCCTGGCTCCGGGGACAGGCCCTTACACAAACATTTGCTGATGAGCGCACTGGGCCTGTCAGTGGCTGTCGATATGGACAGTTTCTGAGCGTCAGGATCTTGGGCACTTAGTAAGTTGTGCAGTTGTGACTGTATTCAGGTCCTCGTTTCATATCTGCCTTTGCTGGTACTTGAGGGTGTAAATAGGTGCCTGACACTGTGCCTGGCATGGGGAACACGACCCAGAGTCTATACTGGAGGAGGCCTAAGTCTAGTGCGGATAATGGACCATAAAGAAAATAAACGACAACACAGCAAAGAAGTATATGAACAGAGGCAGGAGAGCAGAGCATGGAAAGCTTCCTGGAGGAGGTGTCACTGAGTTGGGTTTTGAAAGCTGGATAGGCATTCGTCAAGTTGAAAAACTTGTGGGGGCATTTTTAAGGTGGTGAAACTATTCTGTATGACAATGTCACGGTGGACATTGTCCACCATGCATGACATTATGCAATATTCAAAACCCACAAGACTACACAACACAGAAAACCAAAAACCAAGCCTACTGTCATTAAGTAGATGCCAACTCATGATGACCTCCGTTGGGTTTCAGAGCTGGTAAATCTATGTAGATTGCCCAGTCTGCTTTCTGTAGAGTGGCTGATGGGTTTGAACCGCCAGCCTTCTGGTTAGCAGTCAAATGCCTTAGGCACTGCGCGACCAGAGCTCCTCACACAACAGAGTGAGCCCTAAAGGAAAGAATGGCGTTCAGTTTCTGATATTGGCTCATCAACTGTAATAAATGCCTCACCGACTGCAACGGGGTAACAATGGAAGAAACAGGTGTAGGCACAGGAGAGATGAGGTATGTGGGAACTCTACTTTCTGCTCAATTTTTCTGTAAACCTGAAACTGATCTATAAAATAAAGTCAATTAAAAAAAAAAGATAGTGGGCGAGGCATTCTAAGCAGAGGGAACAGCATATGCAAAGCCTATGAGGCTTATCTGGAACCTGGGAGAGCATGGAGCCCTGGGGGAGAGATTAGGACAGGAAGACACATGTGGCTTATGCACAGCCGCCTCCCCTCTGCTAGGGGGGTGCTCCTGCGTTGCTATAATACAGAACAGGTGGCCCTTCCAGCTAAGATGCACTAGGAGGAAAGGCCTGGCGATCTGTTTTAAAAAAATCAGCCAACAGATACCCCATGGATCACAGTGGTCCAGTCTGCACTGTCACTGGGTTGGCACAGGGCTGGGCAGTGTTCTGAGCCATTGTACATGGAGTGTCCCTGAGTCAGGGCTGACTTCACCGCAGCTGACAGCAACAAAACCGGGAGAACCACTTGGACAGTGCACCTCTCTATAACCGCCCCCCCAACACACAACCTGCTACCTGGTTGGGACAGAGAAGAATCCCCTTGTGGCTCCAGGGTCCACCTGAGAGCAGCAGACAGTTTCCCACCTGCCCTGCCTGCGTGGCCCTCAGCCACCGACGGGGAAGGGCGGGGCAGTGATGCAGGTGGTAGTAACATGGCCCATCCAGGCTCTATGGGATGGCTAGTGGGGGAAGGAGGCAGCGTGTACCCCAAGGTCCCCAAGCACTGAGGGAGATGCCACACAGGCGCTGTGGCAGCCCTGAAGGAAGCCAGCTGTCCCAGGCAGTGGGAGGAAGGGGCACATTCACACTGGGGAGAAGCCACTTCCTGGGCACTACCACTCCACCAGTGACAGGAGCCAGTAGCTGCCCCTTTTGCTCCCTGGCCCAGAAAAAGCATTTCAGAAATGGGTGGGAAAGACCTAGCTATCCCGAGTCTGGAAAGTGAGGGCCACCCCTTCGTGTGCCCAGACTGAGCCGTCAGCAGGGCTTTATCTCAGCCCTCAGCGTACTCTCAGACCACCTGCAGGACCAACCCCCTGGCCCCTGCTCCAACTTCATCTCCTTCCACCCCCACTGGCCTCCCAGTGCTTTGGATACAGCAAACTCTCTCCGACCTCGGGGTCTCTGCGCTTCCTGTCCTCCTTGCCCCTTACTCTCCGCTTGGCCAGCTCTTCCACGGACTGAAATGTCACCTTTGCAGACAGACTTTCCCAGAAGGCTGCCCACCCTTACCGTGAAAGCGCTCGGCTGTTTTCCTGCGCAGGGCCTGCACGGTCACCTCGGAGTCTGCCCACTCCAAGACCAGCCTCCGGCCATAAAGGTGGGTGCTGTGGCACAACGAGTTGAAGGCTCTCTGCAGGAGGCAGTGGGGGACAAGAAACAAAACAGTGTATCAGTGAAAACTGAAGGGCAGACAAGCCCCCGGCCCTCCCCCTGGGATGCGGGCAGACTCAGGAGCCCAGGTAGTGGCCCTGGGGACGTCTGGTCTCCAGTGAGAGAGAGGCAGCCGCTGGACTCATCTATTTAATTAGCAGGTTACGTTCTCTGGAGGAGAGCTGAGCCCACAGAGCCACTGGCCAGGCCTGTCCAAGGCTCGTTCCTACTCCCTGCCCCCACCCCCAGGCTACCCAAGCAGGGCGACCCCATTAGCGGACCTCGCCTCCCCTGTGGCTGTCAGCAGGTGCTGCCATGTGAGAAAGTTGGGCCACCTGATGACAAGCACAGGCCCCTCATTTTCACTTAGTGGCATCTCCTTCTCTGGCCCTGGTGATTAGGTCCCCCATCTCTCTCCTGGATCCAGCCCCTTCTCTGTTTCCACTGCCACCGTCTTGGGCCAAGCTGCCCTTGGCCTCCTCGCTGCCCTCTCTCTCGGCTGCTGGCTTCATCCCATCCTCAGTAGCTCGCCCTTCACTGTTCCTGACTCTGCGCTGTTTGCCTCGGCCCCTCTCTATGCTTTGCTTTAGGGTAACTTTTTAGACCATGGAGAGAGATGATACACCCCTGGACTGAGCCACCAATGCAGCATTCAGGGGTTTTCAGTCTGTTCAGAACTATTCAACCAATTTTAGAACATTTTCATCACCCCAAAGAAATACCCTGTATCCTTTTGCCAGAGTCCCTGGTGGACGAGCAGAGTTAATGCACTCGCCTGCTAACCCAAAGGGTGGTGGTTTGCGTCCACCCTGAGGTGCTTGGGAAGGAAGGCTGGAGATCGCTCTGAAAAGTCAGCGTGGAGAACCCTCCAGAGCCCAACTCCACCCTGCTGCCTGTGGGGTCACCACGAGCTGGCCGTGACTCGACAGCACCTGGTTACACTTCTTGAAAC